AACTCGTGTCGCGGCCTGACCCTTGCTTCCCTTCCCCCGCGACCGGACCCCGCCCCGCCCTCCCCATCCTGCTCGGCCCAGCACTCGGCATGAGCAGGCACACCGCAGGCACCTGCCCGAGCCGCTTCTCACCTTGTATACTCCTCCCGCCCACTCACCCTTTCCGCCGTCGCGTCGGCGTCCTCATCACCGTCGGTGGCGCCTCCCCCCTCTCTCTCTCACACACTCTGTTCGTGGACTTCCCTCGGTGCTCTCCTCTCTCCCCGTCGTTTCTCTTCTTCTTCTTCTTCGCCGGAGTTCGCAGTTGGATCTATTTGGACGCCGAAAAGGCGTCAGAGGTCTCTGAATGCACCGTCAATGTTTTGGCCAATTCGTCGCGGTCTCTCTGGAGAGGGATTACGATTACGGAGCTTGTGACTTGCAATTCGGCGCGCCCTCTAGATCAGCTTGAGTAGAGTGAGGGGGTGTGAAGGGTACCCCACCCCCTCCGAATAGCAATTTGTGAGCTCCGTCCATCCTGGCTGCGGGTGCGGGTGAATATGGGGATGAGGTGCGCGGAGCGGGGCGAGCGGGGCGAGCGGAGCATGGTCAGAGACAGACACACCCGACCCAGAACAGTGCAGGGCTCTGGCCACCAAGGCGTAGCCCAGCCCCGCACTAGCCCCGCACGCAGCCCACACCATCCGCTTGCGGTGCACTGCAAGCAAACGCACCACGAGTATACCAGGTGGCTGATTCACGCCGCACACTTTCGTAGTTATACTGTACCGCATGCACGCATGCGGGCGGGTTGCCTACCCGGGAGCCGTGGGCGGCGAGCATAGGCAAACCCACCCGCACACGTGCATGCGGTATAGTATAACTACCACGGTGGAGGGAGAGCGTGAATCAGCCACCTGGTTCATACTCTGTCGACTCCGTCCTACCAACAGGGCCGAAGAACCAAAGACCCTCGGCCACCTCGGCCACGAGGAGTGACCTCTGAATTTCTCATTAGCACCTGGCTGGCTCCGGACGTGGAGGTTTCGGAGTTTCCCCGAGAGATGGCGTCGGCCCAGTCGGACCGATCAGCTTTGCGCGATGTGTATTCGCTACGCCGTATCGGTTGGTCGGTCACATTTACCTCTAGTCGTTACTCTGGTCTCCCTTCAAAACGAACAAATCTTTCGCCTTTTACTAAAGATTTCCGTGGAGGGGGACACTTGATGAGTCTATTCGTCAATTTTTTGTATGCCCTGCGCAAGCGGGGCGAATTATCTCTAATTATTTCATTAATGCAAGGGGGGTTATACCTGCGCGCACTGTGTCCCCTGTTGTTTTCCTTATCTGTGCTGTGGAATATCGGGACCCTATGCTGATTACAGTAGCTGATTTCAGTATACCTTCACATTTTACTTCTTCCTCCAAAGCGCGGATGTGTCATCAATTTGATGAATTCAGAAACGCTCATCTTAAATCTTCGCCCCTTTTGCCTCACCTAAAGAAATGTTCTCTTAATGTAAGTCAGAAGTCAGTGGGTGATGGATTAGGTTGGGTTCCTCGTAATGTCTCCTGCTCGTAGGAGTGACTCCGCTCGCTGCCCCAGCGCGGCGCGGAGAGACACCGGGACACGGGAGCCAAGGAGGCAGCTCGACAGCGGACGGGTGCTGCGCTCTAGCGGCCGCCGCGACAACCGCCACGGCAGTGAGAGAGGCCACGTACGCGTCGCTCTGCTGACAATACCATGTTATCGTGGAGTGCGAGAGAGAGGGAGACAACAGCGTTTCAGACGTGACCCTACCACCATCAGCGACGTCGTCAGTCAAGTCCACGCCAGATGGCGTTTTAGCCAAAGGTTCAGAAAGTGCACGAGTATTTCTTTAAATTTCTCACTTTGCCGGTATGATGTAGAACCGACTCCCTGATATTCATGTGCACCGGTCTCCCCCGAACCTGTCGCCTGCCTCTGGTCCCGGGTGCTCGGAGCCCCGCGTCGACGGCGAGGTGCAGAAGTCCGCCGCGCGGTGGGTCCCCGAAGTGCACATTTAGTTGGTCGCGCGCCGGGCCGGTCTACAATTCATACTTACCTGGCGTAGGAGTTAACCGTGATCACGAAGGCGGTTCTCCCAGGTCGAGGCCCTCTCATTGCACTTCGATTGGGCTGAAGCCTGCGAGTATCCCAAATGTGGATACCTCGGGCGTATAATTTTTGATAGTCGGGATTGCGTTCGCGCTCTCCCGGAATAATCTTTCAATGAACCTACGTCTGCTGACAGGACCATACCTGGTGAGGCCGTGGCTCTTGCGAATATGCGTAGTAATTTTGGCCCCGATCCCGAGATGTGGTTCCTGATCGTGATGCTGCTGCCCAGCGTTTGTACCCCTTAGACGCCCACCCGTTGAGTTGGAAAATACGAGGTGCATTAAAATTTCACGTACACACTGAAAAATATTTCAAAACATGCCAGAAATTCAAAAAACATTCAATTAAAAATATTGTAAATATTCCAAGAATCTTCCAGATATTCCACAAACACCAAAAAGACTGAGTGGTTGACCCCTGAAAGTAACTGGAGAAATGATTCAGATGAAGCTGTAGTGTTACCAAACACACGTATAACGATCCGTGTCTAACGCAGCCTGCCGTAATAGCGGAATGGTTCAGGATAATGACGGAAGTGTCCTGTTTTTGCTAATTTCTTACCGGTTGTGTCTCCTGCAGCTGATAATGCTGGTGCTGCTGGTGCTCGCGGCCCTCCTGACGCGCGCCCGCTGCCCGCCGCCCACCGCCCCCGTGTCCGCCCCCGTGCCCGCGCTCGCCGCCCCCAGCCATGGCGCGGAGGAGACGCAGTGGGTTTGTCCGCAGATCGGAGTGGAGTGGGAGCCGGAGGAAGAGGAGGAGGAAGGCGGCTGGCGGCGTGCCGGGGACGGCGGGGACGACGCGGACGTGAAGCAGCGCCCCGTTACCTGCTCGTGCGACCTGCCGCACACGCTGCGCTGCACCGGTGGCCTCCACACCTTGCAGGTAAGGCTTCGCCTAAATGTCTGAGAAGTATTAATGGTCGATTTTTCAAAAATGTTTGTGAAAAAATACTCACATTTTTTCCTACCTGTGTTTCATTTTTTTTCAATCTTCTGCAAATACTTCAACTTTTGCCATATAATGGAAAGGCTTCTAAATTTTCCGAAAAAAAAGATTCGTATTGCAACACGTTGAATGCGGCTAGTTTTCCTGGTGCCTATGATTAAACATAGGCACGTCGCACAGAACTTGTTTAAATACCTAGCCCATCCCGCCACCGGACCGCCGCAGCCTGGCCCGCGGCGCGGCCCGCGCGCTGCAGCCGCGTGCCTCGCGGGCCTGGCCGCGACGGCTCACCTCCTCGCGAGCGTGAGCGCCTGACCGGTTGACTCGGCAACATCGATCCCAATGTAAGTTGCACGGTTGCGCGGTTTCGATTCGGGAGGTCGAAGCGATAGCGATACGAGACGGCGGCGACGGGCGCGAGTCGAGTGGTGCGAGGGCCGACCGAGTCTCGCGATGCTGCTGACGCCCGCCCACCGCCGAGGCGAGGGGGAAAGGGAAAGGGGGAGAGGGGCGGGCCAGTGCGCGGCCGGCTCCGCCCCGCCGGTCAGGCGGACGGCTGACCAGTCCGGACGACCTCCTCACCGTTCATGAGGCCCGGGAATGGCAAGTCCCCTATTACCCAATGGTGCTGACGGCCACGTCTACAAGGGGACTTGCTCTCCCCTCGTCTGCCACTTGAAGGAAGGTTGGCGTCAGCGGCGCGCGCGTTTTAGATTAGCCGAATCGAAGTACTCGAGTACCCGCCGATTGTAACAGCACCAACGTTAGAAGATTTTAGTTCGTATGTACTGGCACTGGCAGAGTTCGAAGAATGGGTCGTTGACGTGAGAGTTCATCTTTTTATTTAGGGGCGTCAAAAGTCTGTTGACGGTACACATTGTACACATTGCAACATCGCAAATCCTTGATTATAACATAGTGCGACAACCCATGGATTAAAATAATAGTCATAATGGCACCATGCGTATACTACACAGCCAGTACAAAAACTCGTTCAAATGCAGTCTTTTCAGACGCATTTTGAAAGGAAACGCGTTCATGCTATGTTACTTATTGAGCAGGGACGCTCGGCGCCACATCGCGCTCCTGCGGCGCAACGTCGAAATTCGACCAGGACATCACGAGTCAGAGGAGGTGGCCCGGTGACAGAATGGCTTTTTTACCTGTGGAAACGGTGTCCCTCCCTCCCCCTCCTCTCGCTGTATTGTTCCGGGCGGACCCGAGCCGAACCCGAACTCTCCAACCCGAACGCGTGTCCTTGCCTGCCGCAGGTGGTGGGGACGGCGCTGCGTGCGCTGCCGCCGCGCTACGTGTCGCTGCTGGACGTGAGCCTGTCCGGGGTGTCCGCCCTGGGCTCCCTGCTCCCCGGCGTGGCCCTGCACGGGCTCGTCGTCTCGGGCGAGCTCAAGAGCGTCGAGCCGGACGCCTTCACGAGCCTGCTGCTGGAGGCCGGTGAGCCGAGGCTGCAGGCCCTGGGGCTGCCCAGCAACCTCCTCGAGGCCGTGCCCGCGTCTGCGCTGTCCGCCCTGCCGGACCTGGACCGCCTGGACCTGTCGCACAACCGCCTGCGGTCTTTGCCGACCGACGCATTTCCGGTAAGGGCCCACTGTCGTAGATTATTCCTGAGGAAGCCAAAGAGCTTTCTCGGCGAGCAGTCATCCCTAAATGCCGCGTGCGCTGCCTCTCCTCCAGGGACTGAGCAACCTGACGTTCCTGGACCTGAGCGACAACCTGCTCACGGACATCTCGGCGGGCGCGTTCCGGTCGCTGTCGTCGCTGCAGACGCTGCGCCTGACGGGCAACCGGCTGCGCGTGGCGCCGCTGTCGCTGTCGCTGCTGGACGGGCTGGAGGGGCTGCGGGGGCTGCGCGAGCTCGACCTGTCCAGCAACCAGCTGGCGGGCCCGCTGGGGCCGGGCGCCCTGCCGCGGCTTCCCAACTTGCGCGTGCTCAACCTGGCGCACAACCAGGTGAGCTCTGTGCGGCGCGGCGCGCTGGCAGGCCTGCCGCAGCTCTCGTCGCTCGCGCTGCCGCACAACATGGTGGACGTGCTCGAGGACCACGCCTTCCGCCAGCTCGGCTCGCTCGCCTCGCTCGACCTGGCGCACAACCGCATCGTGGCCGTGGGCGGCGCCTCGCTCGCGCACCTGCAGCGCCTGCGCTCGCTCGCGCTGCAGCACAACTTCCTGCGCGTGCTCACGGCCGACCTGCTGCGCCCGCTCGCCGCGCTCCAGGAGCTGCACCTGGACGACAACGACATCTCGCAGGTGGCCGACGACGCCCTGGAGGCGCTCGAGGCCGCGGCGCCCCGGCTCACCCGCCTCACGCTCGCGGAGAACCCCCTCAACTGCGACTGCGCGCTCGGACCATTCGCTCGGTGAGTATGGGACACTGCATGGCGGCGACGGCGTGGTGTTTCGATAGGCGCAAATCTATTATTCCTGAGCACGGACCTGTCACGAAACACGAGCCAACCGCTAGATATTTCTAGATATCTTTCCGACTTGTTTCATGGCCCCCAAACCAGCACACCAAAGTCATATGATTTGTTTCCCGAAGGTGGTTACGGCGGAACGCGACGCGGGTCCCGTCCGCGGACAGGGCCTCGGCGGTGTGCGCGGCTCCGCCGCACCTGGAGAACGGCCTGGTGGAGGACGTGGCCGAGGGCCTGTGCCAGGACGACGCCGGCGCGGCCGAGGCCGTGGCCGAGGAGGACGCGGCGCTGCGGCCCGGCCCCGGGCCCCAGCACCACCACGCCGACGCGCGGGTGCAGCTGCGCGGCTTCCAGTTCGACGGCGCGCGCGCCGCCATGCTCTGGGCCGTGAACGTGTCGGCCGCGCCGTACGTCTGCGACACGCTGCTCGTGTACGAGGAGGAGGAGGGCGGGCGCGAGGTGCCCCGCGACAGCACGCCGCTCGGCTGCGACTCGTCGCAGCTGGACGACCCGCACCAGCTGCTCGTGTCGCTGCCCGCGGCACCGCACCTGCAGCCCGCGCGCCGCTACCGCTACTGCCTCGTGCTGCTCGTGGGCGGCGGCTCGCACGACGACCTGGCCATCGTGGTGAGCGACCTGCCTCATATTTCCACCTGCCCGAGCACGACCTCTGACCCCTTTGCCGGCCTTACTCACCTTTGTGTCTCGTCCTCCAGGTGGGCTGCTCCGACGTGCTGCCGCTGGTGAAGACTGCCTCCGCCGCGGTCGCGGTCGCCGAGGCCGAGACCGTGGCTATCGCGCCGACGTCCAGCGTCTCGGTCAGCGCCCCATCGGTGGCGTCGGCGGCTGCAGCAGTTGCGGCGGTGGCGTCGCCGAGGATCTCTGGCCTCTCCGCCAACGTGACCGCGACGGGCGCGCTGGCCGTGTGGGTGCAGTTGTCCCCGGCTACGGCGGCCGCCTCCTGCCGCCTCAGCGTGTCCGTGTTCGCCGGCGGCATCCTGGCCGCGCAGGAGCTGCTAAACTGCTCTCTGCCCGGGACCGTGCTGCGGGGGCTGGGCCCCGGCGCTGGGCCGCTGCAGGTGTGCGCCGCGGCGGGCGAGGCCGCGAGCCGAATGCGCTGCACCTCCGTGTCGTGGCCGCAGCGCTCGTCCTCGGCGGCGGCCTCCTCGGGCGCCATCACCGCGAGCCTCATGGCGGCCCTGACGGGGTCGGCGCTGCTCGGCGGCTCGGTGGCCGCCCTCCTGCTCTTCCTGTGGGCGTCCTCGCGCTGGCGGCGGCGCGGGGGGCGGGTCCGGGGGCGGCGAGGGGGAGGCCTCGGCCTGGACCAGGACACGGGGCAGCTGTATCGCCCCGCGCCCGCCCCCGAGTACGAGCAGCACGCCAGGTACGTCAAGCTGCAGGCCACCACCAAGCTGTGACGCGCCCGGGGGCGTGCGTCGTGTCGTGTCTAGTCAAAGAAAAACGTAAGAATCGCTGGATGTAAGAGAATCAATTGTGATTTTGCCAATCTAGTTTAACCCGTTCGTTTCAAGTTCTAAAGCTCCTCTGTAACTCAGTAGGCATTCTGTGGGAAACTAGTCCAATTCTCTGTAGTATTAATTAGAGTGGGTAGTTGTTTTCAATTCTGTAGATTATTTATTTGAAAGATGAAGTTCTTAACGCCAATTTTTAAAATGAAATGTGTTGTGTCGATTTGAAATCCAAAGAAAACTGAGTATTCAGTGTCAAATAGTTATAATTTTAAATTGTTCATTAAGTCATCTGAAAAAATTCCAATTTTCGTTTTTAAAGAGAATGATGAGGAATTGTGATGTTCGTTTTTGTACTTTTGTAATTTTTTAAAAATCTGTATATATGTAAATGAGTGAATATGGAGACCAGACATACTGACATCGCGAACGAAGGTAAAGTCTACGGAAATAGTGAAGGTCGGCTAAGCTTGCTGAAAGTTTGTACTACTGTATGTGCTTAGGAGCAGGACAACAAATTTGTGCCATTTTTACATCTTTCATCTAGATGCTTGTATTTCATCCCATGTTGTAGTTTTAATTCTCATCTGACCCTTTGTATATTATTGAATGTAAGCGGTGAATAATAAATGATAAATAATAAGACGGCTAAGAATTGCTGCCCCAGTGGCTTAAATACTTTTTGAAACGATTTGATCGAGACAATCTTGAAGTTTAATTTGTGTTCCCTAAACGGTAAACATTGAAAGTAAGATGCTCGGCGCTGTGAGGCCAAACCCCCGCAGGGCCCGGGATAGGCAACTTGCCCGCGGCCGTGCCACATGCGTACACTGGTTTGCCTACCCACCAGGCGCTTCCATCTCAGAGTCCGCGGCCCACCAGCGCGCGCAGGTTGTGTTGCATGAAGGGCGTCCCGTCCAGTTACTCAGTGCCACCCCCTTATCCCCCGGCCAGATGGGCACCCAAAACTCCGCGTGGAACGTTAGACCAATAGAAATGGTTTGTGCAGCTGGAAGCAACAGAATAGTCGGAGGGTATTGGCAGACGTACCCCACGCCAAGAGTAAGCGCGGAGTATTGGCACCGACTCCAGAGAGTGTCGTTGTTGGTCATGGCGGCAAGTTCGACCTCCTTCGGGAAAGGAAGTACTACACCCGAGACTACTCCTGTCACCACAAGACAATTAAGCAAAGCACAGCTCAAATTTCATAGGATGCCCTGATATGCTTTGGATTCTTGACAAATGATGTACTTTGCCACAGTCTTTTTTTTTTAAATCGGGGAAACTGGCTGAATCTGTGAGAATCAGGGATACAGTCAATTTACACACGCATTTTACACTCGCATGGCGCATTATTTTTGTTTGAGTGGTT